AAATTCCTAGAAATGATATCCTTTCCTTTGCATATACCATAATATTTCTATGATATTCCTCTTCAAAGATAGGGGTAATATTATATATTGATACTAGTCATTAATTATTCAAAAACTAACAATACACTAGGTACTTCACTGCATGGGACATAGTAGCTATTCAATAAATGATAGGTATATTTATTATTAGACACCTAACACTGTATGAAACAGCATACCATAATAGACTCTGGTCTCAGTATCTCTATTGAGATATTAGGGCCAGAGGTTTCAAAATGGTTTGACCTGTTGTAGTGGTTCAGCACACTGGAGTTGCATCGATTGGGTTCAAATCTCAGCTGGTCCACTTTCTTACTACCAGCAAGGTGAAACAGAACCTCTTTTGCCTTCTGGGAATGAGGACTTTGCTACTACCATTAAGCCATAAACCTGTTCACTATTCTGTTCACTCATCTGTGAAATGGAAATAATACTACCTATCCTACTGGATTGTGGTAGAGATTAAATGAGATTCTCTAGTCAAAGAGCTTACAACAATACCTGGTACATTTTTTTTTTTTTTTTTTTTTTTGATATGGAGTCTCACTCTGTCACCCAGGCTGGAGTGCAGTGGCCGGATCTCAGCTCACTGCAAGCTCCGCCTCCGGGGTTTACGCCATTCTCCTGCGTCAGCCTCCCGAGTAGCTGGGAGTACAGGAGCCCGCCACCTCGCCCGCCTAGTTTTTTGTATTTTTTAGTAGAGACGGGGTTTCACCGTGTTAGCCAGGATGGTCTGGATCTCCTGACCTCGTGATCCGCCCGTCTCGACCTCCCAGAGTGCTGGGATTACACGCGTGAGCCACCGCGCCCGGCCTATTTTTTTTTTTTTTTTTTTTTAAAGAAAAATCTGGCCGGGCACGATGGCTCAAGCCTGTAATCCCAGCACTTTGGGAGGCCGATACGGGTGGATCACGAGGTCAGGAGATCGAGACCATCCTGGCTAACGTGGTGAAACCCCGTCTCTACTAAAAAATACAAAAATCTAGCCGGACGAGGTGGCGGGCGCCTGTAGTCCCAACTACTCGGGAGGCTGAGGCAGGAAAATGGCGTAAACCCGGGAGGCGGAGCTTGCAGTGAGCTGAGATCCGGCCACTGCACTCCAGCCTGGGCGACAGAGCGACACTCTTGTCTCAAAAAAAAAAAAAAAAAAAAAAAAAAAATCTGCTTATTTCTGTCACTATTCAACAAACACTAGGTGACTATCATTTGCCAGAAGCTACAGATTCAGTAAGTCCAAAAGTGAACTCACCATTTTCTATCCTCTGAGTTTGCCAAGCTTTCTGTATTCTCATCTCATTTTCATCACTGTTCATTTAGTTACCCTGGCTAACATAATTATAGCAAACAAACCTGAGTGCAAATCACCATTCTAAAGACTTTTTGGTTTTAGAGTATTTATATTCACAGAATGACTGCATGAAGTGTAGGCACTCTTATCGTGATTTTTGAGATGAAAAACTTAAAGAAGGTACATAATTTGCCCAAGACTACCCCATTAAGAAATAGCAGAGGCCGGGCGCGGTGGCTCACGCCTGTAATCCCAGCACTTTGGGAGGCCGAGGTGGGTGGATCACAAAGTCAGGAGATTGAGACCATCCTGGCTAACACGGTGAAACCCCATCTCTACTAAAAATACAAAAAATTAGCTGGGCGTGGTGGCGGGCGCCTGTAGTGCCAGCTACTCGGGAGGCTGAGGCAGGAGAATGGCGTGAACCTGGGAGGCGGAGCTTGCAGTGAGCTGAGATCAGGCCACTGCACTCCAGCCTGGGCTACAAAGGGCTCAAAAAAAAAAAAAAAAAAGAAAAAGAAATAGCAGAGCCAAGATTCAAACTTAGGCAGTCTGGCTTCAGAGCTTCTATCTTTTTAGGTAAACACACAATACTGCTTCTAGAGATTTTGGAGTTATCTTAAAAGCTTTCGTTTTTCCATCATTCAGTATCTTAATAAGACACATAGTCCTCTCAAACATCTCTAATTCACCCCTTCTCTGCTTACACTAATACAGACCTAGTATGGGCCCTACTTACCTTCTGCTTGAACTACTAGTTTCCCTGCTTTTAGCTTCTCATTTCAATCCTTGCACCAAACCAGCTAGCCAGCAATGTTTCTAAAACAAAAAATCTAATGACTCTCGCTCAGTTAAAAACATATTGGCACACTAATTCCTATTGAACAGGACTCAGACACTCTTACGTGTCGTCCGATGAGGTACCTATTACAGTACCTCACTTATAAAGTTGAATATACTGCTTTTTATTTTATTGACACAAACATTTTTCCCCCCACCAAAGTGGGCCCTTTTTGAAGGTGGGGACACAGTTTTGCTCATCTTTTTTTTTTCTGAGATAGAGTTTCACTCTTGTCACCCAGGCTGGAGTGCAATGGTGCCATCTCAGCTCACTGCAACCTCTGCCTCCCGGGTTCAAACAATTCTCCTGCCTCAGCCTCCCAAGTAGCTGGGATTACAGGCGCCTGACACCACACCCCGCTAATTTTTGTATTTTTTAGTAGAGGCGGGGTTTCACCATGTTGCCCAGGCTAGTCTTAAACTCCTGACTTCAGGGGACCTGCCCACCTCAGCCTCCCAAAGTGCTGGGATTACAGGCATGAGCCACCACTCCCGGCCTGCTCATCTTTATATAACCCTTATTTCTGCAGTCCCCAACAGCCTACAGGTACAAATGAGGTCACAATATCATTAATATGTGAATCTTAATGATTCATTAAGGTTGAAGTTTAGAAGCTAAACTTCAGCAAAATCTCCCTACCCTTAATGCAAAGGGCTTCTGAATTATCAGAAATGTTTTTCATGTGCTCTGTCATAAATTCACTCCCGCTACAGCTACATTGCTACCCCATATGAAAACTGAGCCACTCTCTCTCTCCCATTCTTCCTTGAACCCTGTATTTTCAGGTAGCCATTATGAGCTTAGCTGCCAATGTAGGAAAGAATGGCTTTCTTGTGACATATTGTTAAAGGGGTTCCAGTGGCGGGTTGTTTCAACTCATGTGTTTATGTGAAGTAGCTTTCAACCGTATTTACTTAGAGCCCCCTACCTCCCTGGGCATCAGATATGGTGTCAGGGATCTTAGTCAAGGCAAACTTGAGGTACAGCCATACCACTATAATCAGAATCCCTCCTTCACTCCAACAACAGCTTATTATTAGTACAGCTCATTTCTTCTACCCTTAGGATGGTCTACCTTGCAGGAGTTACCCCAACCAATTCAGTAAAACTTAATTTGGAACTACCTTACAAACTTGCGAGATGTATCTAAAATTGTTTGAATGCTAAAGCATCCACAGCTAATATTCAAATATAACCAAGCTTATATTTGTTTCACTCTTTCCCACTCCTCTCCCCAACTCCACTGCCTCGCCTAGAGCATTGTGCATACTAGAGCCCAATATGTTTTTTAATATGTAATAAAAAATAAAATTCTATGCTAGTTGAGCAGAACTAGTTTATCTGAGAAAAGAAACACAAACATAGGATGAGAGTATCTGGCCCAAGTCCAAAACTACACCAAAATTATTCAATTTAAGGGGAAAAAAGAACCCAGTAAAATACATGGTTCTCAACTGAGATGGATTTGGTTGTTGGTAGGAATCCGATGACTAGTGTACCTGCACCTGTTCTGACACCCTCCAAAGGAATCTGGATCACAAGTGAACTGTCCAAGACCATAAGCCACACCCTTGGGCTAATGCAAGAGGAAGCTGAATCACTTCCTTGAGGCCAAATGCATACAAACAGAATTGCCTCAATTTCCTACTGACACCTTTTTTTTTTTTAATGACCATTTCCTTATCTTGTTCTTGTAATAGAAACCTTTTAGGGTGATTTGGCTTTTCAGTTTAAAAATATGAATTTTGGGACTGGGCATGGTGGTTCACACCTATACTCCAAGCATCTGGGAGGCCAAGGCAGAAGGATCACTTGAGCCCAGGAGTTCAAAACCAGCCTGGGCAACATAAGGAGACTCCACCTCCACAAAAAAGTTAAAAAATTAATCAGGTATGGTGGTGCATCCCTGTAGTCCCAGCTACTCAGGAGGCTGAGGTGGGAAGATTGCTTGAGCCCAGGATGGTCCAGCCTGCAATGAGCCATGATGGCGCCGCTGCACTCCAGCCAGGGAGACAGAGCAAGACCCTGCCTCTAAAAACAAAATAAAATATAAATATGAGCTTTTGTTGCTTTGTGCTGTGTTGGTTTTGGTGAAACTGAAGACTTTTAGGGAATGTAGTATTAATGTAGTACCCATCCAATTGCTGACTAGATTATGGTTTGAAATACTGGTAATGTTTTCATTCAATGGTATTAAATAAACTTCATTTAAAAAGAAATTAGTATAAACGAGGCACAGAAAGACACATACCACATGATCTCACATTTGTGGAATCTAAAAAAGTTAAACTCATAGAAGTAAAGAGAGGATGATGGTTACCAGAGGCTGTAGGAGTGGGAATGAGTTGTTGATCAAAGGATGTGAAGTATCCGGTAGACAAGGGGAATAGGTTCTGAGATCTATTGGACAGCAGGGTGACTACAGTCAATAATAATGAATATTTAGAGAAGCCAGGGAAACGTAGTGAGACCTTGTCTCTACTAAACATCAAAAAAACTAGCCAGGTATGGTGGTGTGTGCTTGTGATTCCAGCTACTTGGGAGGCTGAGGCTTGAGCCTGGGAGGTCAAGGTGACAGTGAGCTGTGATCCTAACAATGCACTCCAGCCTGGGTGACAGAGCTGCCACCTGTCTCAACAAACTAAACCAAGAGTAAATTTCAAATGTCCCACCATAAAAAAAAAGATAGGCAAATGAAGTGCTAGATGTGTTAATTAGCTTGATGTAATCATTCCACATTGTAGACATATATCAAAACATCACATTGTATCTTATAAATGTATACAATTATAAATTATCAATCAAAATAATCATAATTTAAAAATTACTAAATGTTGCATAGTTTCTAGTTTAATGTTAACATTATAAACCATATTTGTACCCATTACAAATTACAGCTATTAAATAATCTTGAAAATCGCATCCCACCTTTAATGATTTGAAACATGGGACAGTGCAAAGGGCACCTGGATACATGTCGTAGTACTTAGGTTCTTGGCTCTTTCACTAAACAGTCACATGATCATGGGCAACCTCTTTAACCTTGATGGCAGTCCATGAGAAAACATGTACAAGTACCTAGTCCAATGCTTGGCATATGATATAGGCACTCAACATCTGTTAAAATTGAAGTTTAACTCATATTAAATAATTTCTATTTTTTAGGAGTTACATACTAAGTTGTAGTATCCTCTTATTTGACATGTAGATCTGGAAATATTCATTTCATCCAAATGAGACTAAGCAAAATGATGTATTATCTGAAAACACTGAATCAAATGGAATAGTATAGTGCTCTTTTTTTTAACCCGCAGATCACAGGCAAATTATAGATTGAAACCACGATATCTTTTTAATAGAAAAATGCCACAGTAATTTAATCAAAGTCTAAGCAAGGACTTTGCCTGCTGCCACAAATACCATGACAAACTGTGGCATTATGAGAAGCAATTAATGAAGAGGATATGATAAATAAAACATGAGTTGGCCAGAATATTTTTACTGATGTCTTCTCATTTGATTTCCTGGTATAAGATGGTCAATTTATCACACCTATAATCCCAGCACTTTGGGAGGCCAAGGTGGGCAGATCGCCTGAGGTCGAGAGTTCGAGACTAGCCTGACCAACATGGAGAAACCCCATCTCTACTAAAAATACAAAATTAGCCAGGCGTGGTGGCGGGCGCCTGTAATCCCAGCTACTCGGGAGGTTGTAGCAGGAGAATCACTTGAACTCGGGAGCTGGAGGTTGCGGTAAGTCGAGATCATGCCATTGCACTCCAGCGTGGGCAACAAGAGCAAAACTCCATCGCTAAAAAACAAACAAACAAAAACAGATAGTCAATTTAACTATCAACTTAATTGAAAAGCCAATGATTGTAACAATTAAAATTTTGGTTAATAAAATTCAATTATTTGTGACTTCATGTGTGAAGGATTTCATCTGCTACTAACAGAAGTATAAAGACAAAAAAAAGTATCAGTTGTAAATGGTCAGTTCATTTGTCAAAACACATTATCTAGTATGGTATTTTCGAATTTATAACTTGTAACATTTTAATCCAACTACAAATTACACTTGAACCACATTTTTAAAAATAAAGATAATCAAGAATGATGAAGTAAAAACCACTCAAGTTCAACTGCTGGATCTGGGATGTAAAATAAGTGACAAAACAGAGAAAGGTGTTGAGTTTTTAAACAGCAAATTTTGACTTTATTCAAATCACATTTTTAAATTTTTTTTGTACTTGGTTTTTGTATTGTTCTTTTGTTTATTTCAAACAACAGCCAACATCATACAAATCACATTCTAAAAAGAAAAAAGAAAGTATAAAAGATTATAATGAAGTTAATTTAATATGTGCATTTATCAAATGTGTCAATGGTATTCTTGAAATAAAGGCATAAAATCTTCAAAATTAAAAAAGCTATTTGGACACAAGAAGCTGAACTTATTGACAAAGGAAAAAAATACATTCAAGTTCCCAGACTAATTTCTTAGTTATTGCACTATTGTTAGTGATAAAGCCTTATTATCATCATTAAAGCATATTGTGAGACAGAAAACAACTCATGTATTTTCTTCTAATATGTCTGGATATGATATGTACAACTTTAAACCTCAGCTAATTAATTAAAAACTATCCAGAGTGACAACACAGTAGCTTATTTACTTTTTACCACTGCAGAACATTTGGAAGCAATATTTACTATAAGTCTGTACAGACTTCATAATCCACCTCGTTGAAAATAAGCTGCATAACACTTGTAGAGAAATGTAGGAAGATCCGTTAGTACAGGATACACCATGTTGTTTAAATATAACCTCAGACACAACTGAATTAGATATACAGTTAAGTATTTGTTACTTAACAACAGGATACATTTTGAGAAATGTGTCATTAGGCGATTGTCACTGCCCAAACATCTGAGCATACTTACACAAACCCAGATGGTATAGCCTACTACATACTTTGGCTATAAATAGAGCCTCTTGCTCCTGGGCTACAAACCAGTACAGCATGTCACTTTACTGTAGGCAATTGTAACTCGATGGTTAAGTATTTCTGTATCTAAATGTATTCAAAACTAGGAAAGGTACAGTACAAATACAGTATTACTTCATGAGACCACCATCATATATGCAGTGTTTTGTTAACAGAATGTCATTATATATCAGACAACAGAAATGTATTTTCAGGAATAGAATATCTATTGCTAGATAATATAAATTTTTTTAAATGTTGTGCTACTGCATTCCAGCCTGGGCTACAGAGACCTTATCTCAAAAAAAAAAAAAAAAGCTTTATGATAAAAAATTTCAAACATAAAAGTAGAATGAATGGTAATAAATACTCTCCTTTTACCCAATACCTGGCATCAATGATCATCAGCCCACAGAAAATGCAACAAAACTCTGGCATCCAAAGACAGTCTGCTGATTTTACATTATGAAAAGTTATTTTTATTAAATATTCAATACTCCTTGGTCAGTACTTATTTTGTTATTGAAAAGCAATTACTATTTGGCAAACATTTTCAAAGACAATACCTAATAATACCACATATTTTACTGATATTTTCAGCATTTTTTATGAACTATATTTATAATTACAGGGATTTCAACATTCCAACTTATCCAAGGGTTCCAAAAGACATTATTGTTAAAGGCAGTAATCACCCTAGGTACTACATGCTCCCAAAATTTTGCAACATATAGAAAAGGACATTATAATAGAAATTTTGAAATAAAATAAAATCAGAGCTACTGTATTGTTATATCTCACTTCCTGACTCAAGCTTATACAAGCTTTATGGAGGTATACTTGAAATGAATTGCACATGCGTATCAACAGTTCATTCCTTTTCATTGCTGAGTAGTATTCTCATGTGTTCCATTGTATTCCAGTTTATTCACTTGATAGGCACTTTGGTTGTTTCTAAATTTTGGTCATTACAAATAGAGCTACAATGGACATTTGTCTTTGCATGAACAAATACTTCATTTTCTCTTGGGTAAATACCTACAGGTAGAATGGCTAGATCATATATATGATAGATGCATGTTTTAACTTTACAAGAAACTGTCAAAGTATTTTCCAGTGGTTGCTACGTTTTGCATTCTTCATCCTTGGCAATATTCTTTGCTCTAGAATCTGCTTTGTCTAATAATACAGACATTCCAGCTTTAATTGGTGTTACCACGGTATCTTTTTTCAACCTTTTAACCTATTTGGGTCTTTATGTTTAAAGTGTGTGCCTTATAAGAGGCATAAAATTGGATCTTGTTTTATCCAATGCAACAACCTCTAGCTTTTAACTGGGATGCATATATAGCCAGTGGTTCTCAACTGAAGGCAGTTGTATGTCCCCTGCCCCTTTTCCCCCTCCCCCCACAAAAGAAACAGTGGGCAACATCAGGAGTTATTTTTGGTTTTCTTTTATAACCCTTGAAAAAAGGAGGGAAAAAAAAAAAACTTTCTTAGCCTGCAGGCAGTCAAATACCAGCTTGCAGACCATGGGTTGCTCGTCCCTAGTGTATTTCTACCTGCCTTACTTAACTTCCTTTAACATTTCTTGTACTACACATCTACTGATGAATCCTTTCAGCTCTTGTCTGAAAAAGTATGCTGCTTTTTTATTTCAAAGATATTTTCTCTGGGCATAGACTTTTTTTTTTTTTTTTGAGACCAAGTCTCCCTCTGTCGCCCAGGCTGGAATGCAGTGGCGTGATCTCAGCTCACTATAACCTCTGCCTTCTGGGTTCAAGTGATTCTCCTGCCTCAGCCTCCTGAGTAGCTGGGATTACAGGTGCCCACCACCACACCCAGCTACTTTTTGCATTTTTAGTAGAGATGGGGCTTCTCCATGTTGGCCAGGCTGGTCTCAAACTCCTGACCTCAAGTGATTTGCCAGCCTCAGCCTTCCAAAGTGCTGGGATTACAGGCGTGAGTCACCGCACCTGGCCTGGGCACATAATTTTAGGTTGACAGGGTTTTTCTCTGTTCTGTACTTGAAATATGTTGCTCTACTGGCTTCTCAAATTGTTCCCTTTAAGAAATCTAACTTCTCACCTTTGTAACTCTTTCCAAGTCACTTGAAAACAGTACCTTTTTGCCGCTAGTCCATTTAAGATTTTATCTTTATCATTGGTATTAAACAATTTGATTATGGTGTACTCTGGTTTGGGTTTTTGTGTAAGAGACAGGGTCTCTCCACGTTGCCCAGGCTAGTCTCAAACACCCAGCCTCAAAGCAATCCTCCTGCCTCAGCCTCTCAAAGTGTTGGAATTACAAGCATGAGCCACCACGCCTGGGTAGTATGGGTTTTTTATGCTTCTTGTGCTTGGAGTTCATATCTTCTTGAATCTGTGGGTTTATGGTTTCTATCAAACTTTTAAGCTATCATTTCTTCAAATACTTTGTATGCTCCCTTCCCCTACTCCCATTACACACTAGGGTGCTTAAACTTGTGTACAGCTCACTGATAGACTATTTTTTTGGTGTGACTTTGATTTGTTTCTATTGCTATGTCTTCTTCAAACTCATGAATCTTTTCTTCCACAATGTGCAATCTGCCATTAATCCCACACAATATGTTTTACATTTCACACATTGCAGTTTTCATCTCTAGAAGTTGGATTGGCATCTATCTTCCAGGCCCCTACCTAACTTTCTGAAAATATGGAATACTGTCTGAATTCTAACATGTCACTTTTTGTCTCATTATGGGTCCTATTTTACTGCTTATTTGCATCCTTGCTAGTTTGGAGATGACACTGTGGATTTTACCTTTCTAGGTGCTGGATGTTTTTGTATCCCTATAAATCTTGAGGTTTGTTCTAGAATTCAGTTAAGCTCCTTAGAAATAGTTTGATGCTTTCAGGCCTTGCTTTAAACGCTTGTTAGGCAGAACAGGGACAGTGTTCAGGCTAGGGCTGTTTCCCACAACTGAGGCAAGACCCATTGTATGTACTCTACCCAATGCTCCATGAATGAGGCTTTCCAGTCTGTCTTGTGGAAACAGCCAATATTCCCAGCTGTCTCTGAACACAACACAATTATAGTCATGTGTTGCTTAATGACAGAGATATGTTCTGAGGAATGCACCTTTAGGTAATTTCATCATTATGTAACCATGATAGAGTACTTACACAAACCTGGATGGCACAGCCTACTACACACCTAGGCTATATGGCACTGCCTACAGCTTCTAGGCTACAAACCTGTACAGCATTCAGTTACCATACTGAATTTGTCACACATGGTATTTTTGTATCTAAACATACAAAAGGTATAGTAAAAATACAGTATGAAAGATAAAATGGTATACCCGTAAAGGGCACTTACCATGAATGGAGCTTGCAGGACTAGAAGTTGTTCCGGGTAAGTCAGTGAGTGGTGAGTGAATATGAAGGCCTAGGACATTATTATAACACTACTGTAGACTTTATAAACACTGCACACTTAGGCTTAAACACATTAAATTTATTTTTAAAATGTTTTTCTTCAATAGTAAATTTTTATTTTATAAACTTAAAAAATTTTTTTTAAATTAACTTTTTGACTCTCTTGTAATAACATTTAGCTTAAAATACATGTTGTAGAGCTGTATAAAAATATTTTTTATATCCTTATTTTATAAACTGTATTTAAAACTTTATTTTTACAAGACACAAATACATACACATTAGCCTAGACTTACACAGGGTCACAATCAACAATATCACTGTCTTCCACTTCCAGATTTTGTCCCATGGGAAGGTCTTCAAGGGCAGTAACATGCACAAAGCTGTCATCTATGACAACA